TACCACTCACATCATCATCAAAGTTGCCCCACTGCTTCCTTTTAAAATGAAAGTTTCGCTGGAGCACAGCCATGCCATTCATTTCTGTTTTGTCTATGGCTACTTTCCCATAAACATGCATGATGTCCTGTATTTTATCAAACTACCTTAGCTGTAACAGCAAAGCTGAATAGTTGTGACAGAGGTTAAATGGCTCACAAGGCCAAATTATTTATTATTTTGGCAGAAAATGTCACCCATCCCTGATCTGTGTGAATGGCACTGTCTGGAATTATGCAATGCCCAGATTGTGCAGCTGTGTGTGGCAGTACCGTGGCCAGCCAGTGGCCTCTTAGCAGCTGCATTTCTTCCAACTTCTTATTCTTTCATTGCATTTCAGTGTTTGCTTCTCTTCAGGGCTCTGAACCAAGGTTGTGTGAACAGAGAGGGCTGAGCTTTCCCTCGTAGGAGCTTTTCTACTAATCTCTCCCAGAACTGCCCTTTATCCCTGCTCCCGGCTGCCCCCATCACCACTGCTACTCTTCCCAAGCCTCTGGCCCCCTAGGATATATGAATGGAGGCCTTTGGACCCTTTCTGTAATAAACCCTGAGTGACACCCTTAAACAGAAGAGTGGGGTTTGGGAATAATGTGAAAAACTGTGAAATTCTCCCAGTGAGAGGGGCCCAACCCAGTTTTGGACAGTGAATCATGGCTTTGGCCAAGATGTTCATTACAATCTCTGCTGACCTCCTTGGAGGAGTGAAAGCTGTTGCTTGCAAAAATAGGCAGCTTCTCAGCCTCCTCTGCCTCCATGGCCATGCTTCACTCCCTGGTGGTCTTATTCTGTACCCCACCCGCATGCATCTTCTTCCTGAGCCACTACTTACCTCAATTATTAGAGACATGAGTCTAATCTGAAGCTTACCTATATACAAGAACCAGAATGATGGCAGTGATAACTCAGCCCCATTTTTATCTCCCTGTTATTTCTCTTATTGTACATTTTTGAGTTCAGATCATGTCTGGAGTGATATGTTTAAGCCTGGGGCCTCATGTCAAGATGAACATCAGCCACTAGAATGGTCCTAAAGGAAGCCAGACCCTGAACACTGGTTCTTCAGGCATGTTTAAGTGAATTGGGGCTTATAAGACATGTCTTAAATGTATGAATCTTTATCATCATAAATATGTCCTGCATTTTATACTTGAGATCCAAAGGATATAAAGAAAGGCCACCCAAAGTCATCATATAAGAAGTAGTAGCTACATGATCCACCGAAAACTCTGACATGATGCCAGTCTCTCCATATCACCATGGGATGAAATTAATCAACTTTCTTTGTTTTCCTTTTCTGACTTTATCAACATTATCCTTGACATCATTGTCACCCTCAATATGGTGTGGTCTTCACAGCTAACATTTATGGAGTGCTCCCTGTAGACCAGCTACTGGGCTAAGCACTTTACACATCTTACCTTATTTAAATATGGCAACCCTATGGGGTAGATATTATCATTATTTCAAAGAGGTGGAAACTGAGGCATTGGAAAGTCGAGTCACATAGTAATATCAGACTAGTCCTTGACCACAAATCTGTTTGACTTCTATGCTTTGTTTATTTTTTTGTCTACTGCTGTTCTTTCTTGTGCCTAGAATGTGTCTGACATATAGTAGGCATTCGATAAATATTTGTGGAGTAAATGAACATATGGAACCAAAGTTGGTGCTCTTGACCATTTTGCGGGTGGGTCTCAAACTTGGTTCATCATTAGAATTGCTTCCAGAGCTTTTCTCAATGCAAATGCTACAGGCCCCTGTGGAGATTCTGAGATGAGACCCAGGAATCTGATTTATAATACATTTCCCACCAGATACTGATGAAGCCAGCTCAGCCCCAGGCTGCAGACAAAATTTGGCATCTACCGCTGCCACGCTATAGTGCCTCATGACAAATTTGCAATTTTTTAAGACTTCTGCAGAACAAATAAAACCACAATTTATGTTTCACAATTCATGTGGCTGATCTCATGTCCTTCTGACAGGCCTTTCACATTTCAGAATGTTACAAATTGCTTTCTTTTCTGGGATATCAGGACATAACATTGGTTCTTGCAAGACAACTACTCGTTCTCATTGTAGCCCCCAAAAGTCATAGCTATTTCTTATTCTCAACCCAATGATTTTCCACTACAGAAATCAGTCTCCCTTACTCATTCTAGAGGAGAAAAGATCAGAGTTAATTCAAGTGTTTTTAAATATGAGTGACTCTTAAGGAAGGGGAAACCCTAGGGTAAACTTAAGACTGAGACAGTCTTAAGTTTTGTTTTGCCAAGAGAGTTCCAATTTACCTCTATTGTCCTGATATAATTATTAACAGTGCTTCTATTTAGTCTCAAACATAAATCTGGGTTTGGACAATAAATAATATGGTCATTCTACCCAAGACCAGAAAGAAAAGAGCTATAAGAAGATAAGTTTCAGTTTATTACAAGGAAAAAATCTCATGAGACATGAAAAATAAAACCCCCAAATCCCCCAAAATATGCAATCAGGCTGCCAATTTAGGGAGTGAGTTTCCTGTTACTGGAGGTGTTAAAACAGAAAGCTCATGGCCATTTGTTGAGGATGATGGACAGGAGGTCAAGCATCACTGGATGACCTTGAAGGCCCCTTCTGACTAAACGTCGGAGGACAGCAGAATCTGTGGTGCCTGAGCTGTTAAAGGAGTACGTCACGCCCACATCCACATGGAAAGAAGCTGGGAAAAGCAGAGCCTATCCCTCTTGGGTAGAAGGCCATCCCATGGTCAGCAATACAAGATGTTTTCCCAGTACTGTAGAATTGGAGAAGGCTCAAGGTACTTAGGATTTGGCTCTTAACATCACACCAAAGCTCCAATGGCCTCTGCTGAACAGGCTGGGCAAATCCTCAGGATGTGAGTACACTAGATGGGGCTCCTTTTCTGGGAGCCAGAGCCACATCTGCTCCCATCCATCTTTGTGGAAAGTGTGGAAAGTTTAGGCCACCACTCTGCTTCCCACCCCTTCCACCCCAGGTCACTTGCCAAATGTCCATTTGACTGACCTTTGGTGGAGTTTGACCCCTGCTCACACTGAGTATCTCAGAGCTATGCAAAGTGTTAGGGAGTTCCCCGACATTCTTCAGGGGCGTTATCACTTTCAGCCCTGTCCTACTTCCTATTCCCTTACATAGTCAGAAACTAAGGCACTGGCCTATGTGAATTTCCCCAAGATCACACAGAGCATTGACTGTGGGGCCAGATATCCAAGATATCTGGGAGCAATGAGGTATGCGGGGAGGTTAACCTAAGTGCCACACATCTTTCCAGGTGGATCCAGTGGGACAGAAGCAAACTACAAGTCCCCAAGCTGGAGCACTTCATCTCCTCCTTCTCCTTTTGAAAGTCAGTTTATCTGAGATTGTGTGGAAAATGAAGAGCCCACTGGTAGCAGGAAGAAGCAAGAGTCTTCTGGAGTCAGGCATCCCACGAGGTTGATATTCAGTTACCATGCATTTCCATTATTTTTCCATGGCAGAACATATGGCGGACTTGGGGATGTGCATGCCTGAGGCCACAGCTCTCTCCTGTCCCATAACTATGTTGCTGGCAGGGCTGTTGCCACAGTAGTTGGCTATGCCCCAGATCTCATATGAGGCGCATCTGTCACACAAATCTTTATCACAGTCTTCATTGCAAGGAGCGCACTGTCATGTGCTCTTAGAGTAATCTTGTCCAAAGTTCCTGGTTTGGTTGACAAGATCCTGCTCAATACAACTTATGTCATGGCATAAGATAAGATGGCTGATTTCTGCCAAGAAACCTGGTGGTGAGCACCACAGGAACAGTCTGCGACATCAGAATAATGTATAGGTTTCTGCCATGTTTGAAACGCGGGAGCTAAATGCAAGTGCTCCCCACAGCCATCTTGGCCCCACAACTGCCCCTCAGCAGTGGTCACTTCCAGCCCCCAATGTAGGAATTGAGCCCCCACTTCCAGTGATGGACGGTTTTGGGTCTGGCTTCCTGGGCCCTCCGTCCTCAGGTTGGGACACTTGCAGAATTGAAGCTTCTGGTCCTCATGGCCGCATCAAGTTGGGAAAGAATGTGAAAAGCATCAGAGTGCAGGTTCCGCTTTCAGATGGCAGGTGAAATCGTCTGATCTCGTCTACTAATCATGTATGCCAATGTTCTTACTCCTCAAAGTGGAATTTGAATGGTGGAACAGGTTCTCTGTTCCACCACATTGGAATTTTAGCATGGAACAAGCTCGTTAGTCATGAAGCCTAACATGCCTCTTAGAGTGGGGAAGTCTTTTACTATGTCCTTAGTAGGTGATAGAATTGTTATTTTCTTACACAGTAGATGACACTTTGTATTTTCAATATTTTATTGCTTTCTGCTTATTAAAGTATTATGCACTCGTTGTAGAAAATTGGAAGCTACAAAACATTATAAAGAAGCAAAACCCCAAACAACTGCATATAACCCTACAATTCAGAGTCAACCACAACTAATAACTTCACAAATAACCTTTGCCTTTTCAATATTTTTTTCTTCGTGCAAGTTGTGTCCTTAATGACTAAAAACTACCCTTAATCTATATGTCACCTTTCTTCTAAACAATGCAAAGAATTTAGATTCTTTAACTCCATTTACTTCTTCTCAACCTATATGTTACTGTTCTTTATTTTAATTATCTCTAAAAATATATTTTAAATCTCATGAGATGTTATTATTTTTCCTTTGTATTCACTTAGTCATGAATGTAAATATTCACTTAGATTTTACTCACATTTTTATTACTTTTGTGGCTCTTCAATTTCCTGCATCTGTAACTTTCCTTATGGGATCATCATTCCCCTGTCTGAATAATACATTTTAGAGTATTTTTAGTAGTGCAAGTTTGTTGGTTCAAACTCTCAGTTTAGGTGTGAAATGGCTTTATGGATGATCTTGCAATGTTGAGAATTCTTGGCTGACCATTATTTTCTTTCAGTTCCAGTTGAGCTTATCCAGTTCCTTTGAGGTTATCATCACCCACTGTGCTCTGGTTTTCATCGTTGCTATCAAGGAGTTGGCTGCTCGTCTAACTGTTGATTCTTTGGAGGTAATCTTTTTTTTTTCCAATTGTATTTCTGACCTCTTATTATGATGTGTCTAGATTTCTTTTTTTGACTCATACATTGAATTTGTTTGAGCTTCTTGAATCTGTATATTGATATTTCATCATTTTGGAAAGTTCTCAGCCGCAAGTTCTCCAAATATCGCATCTGTCTTGTTCCATTCCTTTTCCCCTGGTGGGGCTTCAATTAAACAAAATGCATTGGCCTTCTTAACTGTGTTTTTTCTCACATATTCTCTTATCTATATTTTTCATCTTTTTTTCTTCATGATTGGTTCTGTTTCGCAAAACTTACCGCTGTTCCTCTCCTGTCTGCCCTACCTGCTTTTCTTATAGTTTATATAGCTTCCAAGAGGCAAGTGTCAGGCCAGTCCCTCTTGTGCTCTTTGCCTACTTGTTTGGTGAGAGTTTTGGTCTATTGTTGGATTTAAAAACTGGTTCTCATTTAGAGACAGGGAAGGAGAAGAGCAAGTGACTAGGTATCTCTTAAAAGCATGTAACAGAGGACACCTGAGTGGCTCAGGTCATGATCCTAGGGTCCTGGGATCAAGTCCTGCATTGGGCTCCCTGCAGGGAGACTGCTTCTCCCTCTGCCTGTGTCTCTGTCTCTCTACCTCTCTCTTTCATGAATAAATAAATAAAACTTTAAAAAAAAAAACATGCAACAGGAGGAGGAATCTCAGCTTATTTTCTAGTTGGAATGACTTTAGATCATAGGTAGATTTTAGCTTACATGCCAACCAGTTAACTCAGTTGTGGCAACTGAAAGAAACATCACTGACAAAGATTCAGAGGCTATATCTGGACTCAGTGGGAAGGAATGCTCTAATAGATTAATGACGCCTGCCAGGGACTTGCATGAGAGATGTAATGGCACTCACACCATATATTTGCCATCTGTGACTCAGACCTTACATCTCTTAGCCAGCAATACAAATATTTGGGATGGAAACCTGGTCTTCATGTATACTTTCAGGTAGACGTGGCATTTGTGATGGTACTAATTTGTTGTTCATGTTCAAAATGTTATCCACACCGATGTCTCCATTTCATTAGCTCTTATTCATACCTTTATCCACCACATCTTGGCTCTTTCTCTCAGAATTTTCCTGACACCTTTTACCTACAGCCTCTGGTGCACTTAGATGTTGCTCAATCCAATGGTTGTGTTTCAGTTGTCATTTGATTTGACCTCCTACCAATATTCATGATATTCCTTCTGCCCTTGAGTGAGTCATTTAACCTTTCTAAACCTTATTCATGAATCTGTAAAATGGGGTAAAAATAATCTGTCTCCTAGGAGCACTGTGAGGCATTAAGTAAAATCAGACCTATAAAATGTTTAGCAGAGTACTTGGCATATAAGTTCTCAATAGCTGTTGGCTATTGTTATTAACATACATATCTTCCTACTTTCATACATAAATTCCTACTCCTTTTTTGAAACACTCTTGATCTTTGGGGGCAAAAAACTTGACCCATAGTGGTTACAATAATAAAGGGATTTAACAGTGCTTTGAACTGAGAAGCTATAGGTGGTAGGATCGGATTTCAATAATATTTGCAGCCTGGGCATTAAACCTCATTGCCTGTCATTTCTTCTCTACCTTCTGTGGGGTCTTCTCCATTCCAAAGCTACACTCTCATGAACAACAAGCTCCTAGAGGCCATGGCCATCCAGCAGAGAGAGGGCTGGCTTCCACAGAAGTTCTCTTAAAAGAGCAGTTGGACTTCTCTCCCAGAAGCCCACAGTATACTCCTTCCTGAATCACACCCACTTAAATTAGATTACATGCCCTGAGCCAGATTCTCCTCATAGAGCCATGGGATGTGGTGGTTGGATTCAGCTAATCAGGGTCCACTCTTGGGCTGGGAGTGCAGCTAGTGGGTGTGAGTGAGATGAATATCCAAATACAAATTTGTTTTTAATGTTATCAGGAGGAAGGGAAATTGGATCTTTGATGGCCCAAAGCAGTAACTATTATGGTTTACAGATGGCGACACCCTCAGTTTCCTCTCAAATCCTCATGTACATTTTCCTAGTCACACTGACTTTTCTGTGTATAAACACTCCTTTAACCATATTTCTCTTCCCTTTAGTGAGTTCCTTGAAGGTAATTTCCATGCTTTACTCATCTTTAGGGATCCCTCCCCTAACACAGACATTGGCATTCGGCAAATGAGCATCAAGTACATCAATAAACACATAAGTGAATGAGGAATGTTTCCTTCTTGCTTCATGGAAAAATCTATTCCCATAGCGGCGGGAACGGAATCCCAGCTAGAGACTAGAAGTCAATCTGTCTCTATAAATTCCAATCCCAATGCCCAGGATTTCCACCCAAACAGATGCTTTTTGCATTGTGAAACACCCAGGCATGTGGGCTGCCTGAATTCACGTGTTTGCTCCATCCTTCATCACTCCATTTCCTGGGAAGAAGCAAGAGTCTGTGGGGGCCCTTGCTAGCTGCACATGTTTTCCGTTTCATGTTTCAGCCAATAAATGAGAGGGCTCTCTCACGGGCCACTTAACATGTATTACAGACGTTTCCTTGGACAAATGGTCTCTTCCCCTTCCTCTGGGAATCCAAAGCCTGAGTGATCTGCAGACCTGATGGGGATGAGGAGCTGGGCTTAGAACACCCAGTGGCTGAAGCTACAGCATCTTTTCTTTAACGATGTGACTTAAAGGTGAGCAGTCTGACCTCACATACATCACATTCCCATATACAGCACAGGTGGGTCTGCCTTGGGACGGATAAGGTTGCACATCTGCAGGAGCTGACATCTGGATGACCACACCCATGGACTGATGCTGGTATCAGCTGGGACTGGGGCACTGGGACCTTTCTTTTCTTCCTTCTCTTTCATTTTACTTTAAAGATTTTAGCTCTTTCTGAAAATGAACAGGGTCAATATGAGCAGCAATGGGAGGGAGAATTGTCTCTGAGTGCTGTTTCATCCTCCAGACTAATCGTTACCAGCCAAAGTAATATGAAATTAAAACTGAGGTTTGGCTGTCCGCTGCAATGAGCAGAAATTTAAGACTATAATACATAAAACACAACCTTTTACAGAAATAAAAATCTGCACAAAGCCACAGAGCTCCGAAATAGCATTTGGTTCTTCTGCAAAACTACCACTTTTTTTCCCTGCCAGATCAAACCCTGGAGAGAACTGACAGCATGCTTGCTACTGTCCCTCCAAGCAGAAAAAGAAAGGAGTGTAAAATAAGGAAAGTGAGCCTGATATTCTAAGAATGGAAAATACCAAGGTGTGGAAAATGTGGGGGGTCGGTCTAGAAGGGGAGAACTCAGAGGAAGAACACGATCAAAATGACAGGGGCCACAGGCCTGCCTGGCGGTGTGGCCTATCTCAGGAGAGGCTGGCTTCCGGCCTTCGAAACTGGCCACATTTTGCCCTGGAAATTTCTTCACTTCATTCTAAAATAGAACTTGTACAGATAAGTTCAAAGTAACTTCTACGTGGCTGTTTTCTAAAAATCTCTTCTCTCCAACAGACGAATCTCAAACACTTGGCTCTAAGCAGCAAAGTTGCAAATGTTATCGGATGTTTGTGCAAACTGTCCAAGCCCCCAGTGTTTATAAAAGGGAACCGAGGATATCCAGGAACAGTGTGTCTGGCTAGTAGAATCGCAGCATTTCCATTTTTGCCTAACTTTGGAAGCACAGGTTAGGGATGCGGCAGCGACCACTGGCTGTATCATGACGGAGCTCACGTCTCATTACTTAAGAACTATTTTGGAAAGAAAGATTGAGTTTCTAGTGCGTATAAAACTTGGGGTGGGGTTGAGCTTTAGAAATCTTGTCCAGAAATGGTTCCGTGGTTATTGAACATACTAATCAGAGTGTGTGCTAAGGGTTTGATAGACTAACTAATGTAAATCACTCAGCAGAGCACTTGGCAAACAATAGGAATTCAATAACCATTAGCTACTATTTTTATAATACAATTATTACTCCATAGACTGAAAAAGCATATGGTCCTCAAGCAATCTTATGTAACAGATGCTAGTCTTTTTCTTTCCTCTTTTGTAGCTTGTCTTTGGTCTCGCTTGTCCAGCCTTTCATCTGGTTGCCCAAATTGGCAATAGCAATAATACTATTTGCAAATTTTTATGATTTTTATGATTGTTATTCTAGGTAGGTAGATATAAATATTAATGAGGGATAGAGGGTGAAATTAGGCCTGGTCATTCATAAAAGAAGAACTGAAATATGTGAAAAAAATTCATCTTCTCTGGTTATCAATGAAATGCAGGTTAAAGCGTGAAGGTTCAAAATGGTAATTTTTAGTGTTCTCAGGCACTACTTGGAGGAGCCTAATTTGGCATAATTGATTTGGGGAAAGCAATGTGACAGTATAAATTAAGTGCCATAAATATTCATCTATTCCTTGATCCACTTTTAAGAATTTATCTATAAACTCTAGGAGGAAAATTGAATGTAGTCAAAGAATTAGATACAAAATGTCAACTGCCATGTGTATCTGTCAGGATCTTGTCAGGAGACAGCACACTCAAACTGAGTGATTGGAAAACAGTTTAATTTAAAGAGCAAAATGAACAAAAAGACAGCAACCTACAAAGTTTGGACAGCGTGTAGACAGATGACAAGGGACAGAGCAGGACTGTCGAGCCAGCCAGGGAAATTCATGGATGCCAGCTGATGGCCAAGAAAACAGTAGGGAGTGAAGGCTTTCTGGAACCTGGAGGGAAATACTCCTTGGAGGGGGACCAATCAGGGGAACAAATGGCCCATCCCCACCCTCCTCCCAGCTGCTGGTCTCTTTTTGGCACCTCCCATTCTGAATCCAAGCAAAGGCAAAGGCAAAGGAGCCCTTTGACAAAGTCCATATGGGCCCAGGGTGAACAGTGGCTCTGCAGAGACAAATGAAAAGTATCTAGCACACTTTGCTGTTTTTAAGAGCAAAAATAAAAATGAAAGATAATACAAATGTCCAACAATTAGGAAATGAGTCAATAAAGTCGTACATTTTGCAGCAGGATGTTACACAAGCTATTCGCATAATGCTTTTGAAGAAACAACAACATAAGGAAATATTTTCAATGTGAAGTCAACAGAAGAAAAGCAGGGTAGAAGATTATATATGACTCTGATTGTGAAAAAAAATACATATACGACCCATTGAAAAAAAAACATTGAGAAAATATCCAATCTTAAACTATGGCTATTTCTGATTTGAGGAATGATGGATTTTCTTCTTTCTTTTTTTCCCCCCCACTCATCTGAATTTCTTTTTTTTTTTTTTTTTTTCATCTGAATTTTCTAAATTTTACAGAAGTATATACTACTTATAATCAGAAAGACATTATTAAAAATAGCTGGCCTTTTGCCTTCTGTAGCTTCCAATCTAGTGGGAGATAAAGATTAATTTCTAATGAATTACAACAAAACACAGTAGAAGAGCAAAGGAATGAGCACTGACTTCAACTGGTAGGTAGAATCAGGGAAAATTCCTGGACTGGGTCCATCTAAACCAGGCCTCAAGAAATGAGAAGTATTTCGATTGGTTGAGAAATGTCAGAGGGGCACCCAGGTGGGAGGACAATGAGAAGCAAAGATTAAGAACTCTGGATGGTATAAATATCCAGGGCACAACAGTACATGGATGTTTCTAGAGCAGTATGCTGGCAAAATCAGAGGAGATTTTACAATATACAGATTTATGTGTCCCTCTCTAGACATACAGTGTTGGCATCTCTTCTGGGGATCCCAGACAAATATTTTGAGAATATCTAATCCCAAAGTGATCCTAACACATGGCCGGGATTTAGGAGCACAGGTGGGCAAAGTGTCTGAGAGAGTATGGTAGGCCCGTAAAGCAGCTACCCAGCAGCCTCTAGCTCTGTCCCTCTCCTGAGGGGAAAACAATCCAGCAGCCACTTTATAAAATGTGACCCAGCCCCATGACTACAGAGGGAGCAGGCTGGGGCAGGCCTGAACCCTTGGTGTTGAGGTAGGGCTGTAGACTTGGCGATGAAGAGCTTCCATCTGCTCTGTGAGCTGGAGGAGCAAGAGGAAGCATAGAAACAGAAGGAACGAGGCTGATATAAGGAGAAGAGAAGGAATGGGAAACTGAGAGGATCCTGAGACCTTCCACTCCCTGGTTCAAGTACTTTCTGTGGTCCCGTTGGATCCCTGGCCCTGAGCTTACTGAGACCTCCTTTGTCCTTATAATAGAGCCAAGTTTTCAGAGCTGGCCCAGCTGGAACTGGCCTGCATTAGCTGCAGAGAGGGACAGGGCAAGCTTTATCATCAGAAGCAACAGCATTGCATACTGCCAAGTGCTCGCTGGCATCCAGGGAGCGCAGCTTGGCTCCCACCTAGCCAGCTAGCAAGGTCCTCCCCGGACCGCTGCTCTCAGCACAGTAGGCTCTGTGGAATTACATTCACGACACACAGAAAACGAGCCACCCTTGGTCAAGTGAGTCTGGACATCTCTGGACTAACAACGTCAGACGGGTTTCTCAAAACAGTATACTGTGAACTTAAACCATGTTATATGTCAGTTACGTCTCAATGAAGCTAAAAAGGAAAAAAAAAAAAAAAAACAACCTTCAGGCTTAAATGATAATAAGCACATCACCAGAAAGGAAAGAAAAAGGTTTCTTTCTAGGGACTTCTCAGAGAGTTCAGAAGCCTTGTGCCCTGTGACTCTGATGGAGATTAGAGAATGCAGCATTGCTCATATTTATTTACGCTTTTGTTTCTTTCCAAAAGCATATTTCAGAGCTGGTTCTTGGCCCCTAAGAGCTAACTCATCCATTCACCTGTTTCTTCATCCCGTGAACATTTATTAGAAGAGAAAAAAAAAAAGACTATTTCTGAAAATGGCATGTTGTCTTATGAAGAGGATACTGGCCTCCTGGGAATTATGTGTGTGTGTCCATGTGTGTGTGTGCATGTGCCCGCATGTGTGTGCATGTGTATGTGTGTGCACATGCTTATGTGCCTGGAGGTATATGTTGAGAAAGGAATAAAGAGAAAGAGAGCAAGGCAGAAAGGAGGATGGATCTTGGCTTCAATGCTGAGGCATGTGCTTCCAGATGCCCAATAATGAAAATACCATCTCCATCTCCAAAAAGAATTACGTTATGTTCAGTGGACTCAGGTTAGTTGTTCTGATTAATTTTACTTCAATTAAAAGAAACCTCCAGATCATCCATCAGATGATATGGTGTGCCACAGCAGGATGTGTTTATGCTCAGACCAATTATTATTTTGTGAAACCAGCCTCTTGGGTAATCATATTCAGGTTTTTTTTTTTCTTAAAAGGCCTTCATCAACAGATGAATGATGATAATGCTCTTGTAGGGCAAAAGAAGGTGGAATTAATGTTGTAGAGATTTCCAAATCAGCTATAGTAGGTTGAGCACTAAAAATACTTACTCTTATTTGAATCATAGGCCGAGAATTCATTTTTTCTTTCTACAGATGAGAAAGTTCTGTGAAGGTGAGAACTCTAGGTCTTTTGCAGGCATTTGGTACCTGGCCTATAGTTGGGGCTTGTAACATATTTATTGAATAAATGAGTAAATGAAGGAGGAAACTGAATCTAAGAGTCAGCCCAGGATCACCCAAGGTCTAAAGCCACATCTGAGCTCAGGTCTGACTGATTCCAAGGCCCA